GGTTTGGAAATAATAATAACAAAAACTGTCAGAAGAGAAGTGAACAATTTTGATTTGAAAATCGTCAAAATTTTCAATTTTTTGATAGGGTGCTTCATTTCTAGGTCAAGGATTTGGGCTTGGAAGGGCGGGGAGGGGAGAAGGGGGTGGGGGAGAAAGGGGTGGGGAAGAAAGGGAATGGGGGAGAGGGAAAGGGGGGTAAAGGTAGTGAATGCACATTGCAACAGAGTTCGCAGAATTTCTCATTTTGATTTTCTGATGTCTATGTTAAAACATGACTTATATAGGCATTGTAAAACAAGATTGGAAAGAAAAAGTTGTGTTGGAAAGGAGAGAAGGGGGAAGGGTGGTATATAAAGAGAGAAGGGGGAAGGGTGGTATATAAAGAGAGAAGGGGGAAGGGTGGTATATAAAGAGTTTTGAGAATAAAGAAAACCAATAGAAGAAGGAAAATGGTAAAAAAATTAGAGTAAAGGGTAGTTTATTAAACTTGTTTCAGATTTGTGACACAGAATTGAGCATGATCTTGATAAACCGGGTTTCATTTGAAATATTGAAGAGATTCCAGAGACAGTGATCTAGAGTTCTTTAACTACCAATTTAAATACTTAAACGAGACATTTTAAATGGGATTTTCTTTGATAAAAATATTTTGTGTTCTGACGCTTGGTTTGTTAACTACCCTGACTGCTTGGTTGGGATACCCTGGTGTTGGCTTGAATACAAATGAGACAAGATTTAAGGAAAGGAGGTGGTTAGAAGGATTAAACAAATAGAGTGGTCCCTAAAATATAATGAACAACAAAAACTTTCGACCCAAAGAAACTTATAGACATGGTTCGATAAAAATACTAAATATTTTTTAATTGTTTTAGACCTTAATGAATCTATTAACAGATTATTATCTTTTAGGATGAAAACTCAAAATTTTTGTATCTCAATTTCAAGAATTAGGAAAAATTACAGAATATTTATGTGCTTAAAGGAGTCGATTCTTTGCCACAAACTATGAATTTATAATCCCTATATCGTTGAAACCCAATGTCGTAAACCTTTGATATTTCAAACTTATGTTATTTGATCTAACAGAAGTCATAGTTTGAAATTTCAAAGGTCTACGACATTGGAATCCAAAGATATTGGGATTAGAAAATCAGAGTTTGTTGCAAAGACTCAATTCCTTTATTCGAAAAAAATCTTTACAAGAAAGAGGGGTGCTTAGTGCTCAGAAAGCCTGGAAATCAAATCTTATTTAAATTTATCTTGCTGGTCCACTTTATTCTGGAAACCACTGTAATATCTTTAACCCCCAGGTTTGAGCAAGGCTTTAACCTGTGAGAGTATAATTCTGTATTATTAAAATAATGAAAACTATAATTAGACCTTTTACTCAACACTTTCCATTCCTTTCTTAAACCTTCACCTTCCTACAATATGGGATATATTTTATAATTAGACTTTTTACTCAACACTTTCTATTCCTTTCTTAAACCTTCACCTTCCTACAATATGGGATATATAATTAGACCTTTTACTCAACACTTTCCATTCCTTTCTTAAACCTTCACCTTCCTACAATATGGGATATATTTTATTTACAAAACCTATTTTTAAACTTTTCATTTTGCTATTTTTCTTTTTTTTCACAAACTAACACACACTAACACTCAAACAAACACACCTTGAAGAATACACAAGCACAAGAATACACAAGCACAAGAACACACAAGCACAAGAACACACAAACACAAGAACACACATAACAATGACTTTAGAGAATTTGGTTTAGAAGAAGCATAATGAAGAATCATCAAGTTGACCAATACAAGACAAATATACAATATTCCTTCCCTTCTCCTTAACAATCCCACTTCCGTAAAGTACGTTTCACATATGTTTATATCTAGCTAAAGTATGTACTAGCTATATTGTTAACTAAATCTAAGGTAAATATTCCTTCCCTTCTCCGTAAAGTACGTTTCACATATGTTTATATCTAGCTAAAGTATGTACTAGCTATATTGTTAACTAAATCTAAGGTAAATATTCCTTCCCTTCTCCGTAAAGTACGTTTCACATATGTTTATATCTAGCTAAAGTATATTCTAGCTATTGTTAACTAAATCTAAGGTAAATATTGAATATCGCAAATATATCTAACAGCAGTGATATAAATATAGGATAGATAGATAGCTAGATACATGATATTGGCTGGGATAAGACAATGAGGCAAGAATACCTAAAATTCCAATATAGATGGACTCACTAGACCACTATACTAAAGCCTATAGGGGATTATGTTGTGTAAATATAAAATATAGAAACAAAATTTGATTTTGTTGAGTTATTCGGTATTCTGGACATATCTCTTAATTGGTTAATGATTATATGGCTACATATGTATTTAATATATATATATATAGAATTTCGATGGAAGATTAAAGTCTCTTTTTCTACACTAATTTTCAGACGCGAGCTATAGGGTAAAAGTTAATTACTACTTAGATGCTTAGATGGATGCTTAGCTTAGGTGTATTTAGATGTTTGTGTTAGTCAAGCCGACTGTGTGTTTGTCAAGTAAATAGTGTAGGTTTCTGTTAGATATAAAGTGTATCTGATAAAGTGCATGTCTGTATGTATCTGTATATGATGAAGTGCATGTCTGTATGTATCTGTATATGATGAAGTGCATGTCTGTATGTATCTGTATCTGATAAAGTGCATGTCTGTATGTATCTGTATATGATGAAGTGCATGTCTGTATGTATCTGTATATGATAAAGTGCATGTCTGTATGTATCAGTATATGATAAAGTGTATGTCTGTATGTATCTGTATATGATAAAGTGCATGTCTATATGTCTGTATATATCTGTGTATAGTAAATTGTATGTCAGGATGTCTGTATGTATCTTTGTATATTAAAGTGTATGTCTGTATGCATCTGTGTATATTAAAGTGTATGTCTGTATGTATCTGTGTATATTAAAGTGTATGTCTGTATGTATCTGTGTATATTAAAGTGTATGTCTGTATGCATCTGTGTATATTAAAGTGTATGTCTGTATGTCTGTATGTATCTGTGTATATTAAAGTGTATGTCTGTATGTATCTGTGTATATTAAAGTGTATGTCTGTATGTATCTGTGTATCTGATAAAGTGCATGTCTGTATGTATCTGTATATGATGAAGTGCATGTCTGTATGTATCTGTATATGATAAAGTGCATGTCTGTATGTATCTGTATCTGATAAAGTGCATGTCTGTATGTATCTGTATATGATGAAGTGCATGTCTGTATGTATCTGTATATGATAAAGTGCATGTCTGTATGTATCAGTATCTGATAAAGTGCATGTCTGTATGTATCTGTATATGATGAAGTGCATGTCTGTATGTATCTGTATNTCTTATACCCCCCCCCCTTCTTATATTAGCCAACCATGTCCCCCTAACCCATAAAAGTTTTGTCCATTTTTAAACTTTCAACGATTTTTCAAGACATTTTAATGTAGGAGTTTTCAGGAGACTCATAGGGTTACAGGAATATAGGAGAACTGTACACTATATATGCTGAACTATATTCTGTATTACCGAACAACAACAGTGTATATACTGAACGATCTGTTATATACTCATGTATATACTGAACTGTATACTTTATATACTGAACTGTATACTGTATATACTGAACTGTATACTGTATATACTGCACGCACTGTACACTGTATATACTGAACTGTATACTGTATATACTGAATTGTATACTGTATATACTGAACTGTATACTGTATATACTGAACTGTATACTGTATATACTGAACTGTACACTGTTTATACTGAACTGTATACTGTATATACTGAACTGTATACTATATATACTGAACTGCATATTGTATATACTGAACTGTATTCTGTATATAATATATACCTGTATAAGAAACTGATTAATATATATTCTAGCAAGTATTCGATCATATTACCAGCAGGGGGGGCTTCAAACAAAACTTTCAGGAACAAAAGATTTTTTCTAATTAATTGCTTTCTTTTTAATCCTTGTCTTAGGTCTATGCCTTGTCCATGGATGCAGCAAGATTAAAAACATAGAGATGTTAAATTCAGTGACAATATTTGTACGTCACATGCTGGTAACTTTAAATACATTGTGCACTACGTTTTATGATTTATGAATCACATTGCAGTAAAGATCATTTATTGGCAGGATGCTTCACCCTACTCCTTCGTAACATCAAGTTATAGATTGATTAATAGATACCCTAATAGAACCTATTAGTATAATAGAGCTTTTACTGGTAAAATTGCAAGGTAGAAAGGCTTGAATAGCATACATAGAGCAAAGCAATGTTTTTGCATTAAGCATCTATCAACCTATCTAAATCTCCACTTAGTTATGCATATATCCAAACATTAAGTATAATAACCTCCTAATACAAATGATGGATTGGAACTGAGAGAAAAGAATATAGTTTATATAAACTGAAATATAGTATATAAATATATATATTATATATATAATGTTCTGTATATGGAGAGCTGTATATTCCGCCATACCTGGCGGTACAGTGGTTTATATCATTTACATCTAAATACACCATTGTTCATATATTTATATATATGCAGTGCAGCCAATGCTAGAAATAATCAGAGAATTTAGAAGTGTTTATATTCTTGGTTCCTTTTATACCAAACCAACATTTATTCAAGGCACTTCCGGAACTAAGGGACTGTTCATTAAAACTATTAAACGTACAACCTACAGTCACGTCTTTTCAGAAATTGACTTGTGGATTTCTACAGCAAAAAAAGGTTTAAGATCTGTCTATTTTCAGATATAAAAAATAGTATATGTGCAATGTGCATGCAATTGTTGATTAAAAAAGGTTATACAGGATACTGGTTAGGATCTTTAATTAAATCACATTCCTTCAGGGTTCCAAACAAATATTTTTTTTAACTAGAAATATGAGACGTTTTCTACCTTGTGAATGGGAGCCTAGTCCATCGGAGAATAGGTCACTGTGAAGCCCCCCTGGCTCCCGCAGGGACTCTGAAATTAAACAAAAATAAAGTTTTTTTAGTTGATTTTTATTTAAGTTACTCTATAACAGACAAACACCCAATTATTGTATTAAGAGGACAAGGCCAAAAAATACATTGTTATCACAACTCATTACACAAAAGAACAGGGCTATTGATAAAATATTCGAGTTAGAAAAAAGAAAAATAATGAAAAGTTCACAACTTTGACGTTTATCGACCTTTTGCTAAAAATTTGTATATATTAGATTTTGACGGGGAAGTAAGATTTTTCTCGATTTTCTCGTATTTTATATTTGTGAAAACCTCTTTGTATATATATATAATTGATGTTTATTTGGTATCCGAAATGTTTTACAAAACTACATTTTTTCTTTATACACCGCGCAAACAGGACGAGGTTTACTGTAGGAATAAGAAATACTTTAGCCTAGATGTTTAAAAAGTGAATACACAGACTTTAAATCACTTCCTTTATCTAATCTTATTCAATCCCCCAACGAAAATTTAAAACTAATATATAAAATCATTTTTTCAAAAGCATAAGTTGGTTTGTCAAATATATTTTGATTGGTTAAGATTTATGATTACTAAATTATAAAATATTGGAACTGGAGTGTATAATATATAATTCAGAATGTAGATGTGCTATAGATTTATCAAGCTTGTATCTTTTGATAAAATGGTTTCAATATTGAGATTATAAAATACAAAATATATATTTACCGAAAGCTGCAACAGCCAGTTCTGGAGAAGATTCCACACTCTTGTTGAGATCTCTATCCTCGTACTCCTTCAAGGACAAGGAGTAGGTAGTTGGCAGGCAGGAGATAGAGGTGTAGGAGGTGGTTGGAGGTAGGCAGGATACAGACGGATAGGAGGTGAACGATACGACCGTTCTGATGTCTATTTCAACGTTTTGTTTATCCTTGTCTAGTTCAATGACTTGATTATCGTCCTGATGTTCAAACTCGAGATTTTTCTGAAAAATAAGTTCAGCTTCCTCTTTCACAACACTGTCAAATGCCTCAGAGAGTTTGTCAGGTTCTAAAACAGATCCTTTAGATTCTATATGTTCAGATTCTACTACTGAACCTCGTGCTGGAGAAGTCTCTAAATTTGGACTTGATGATGGAGTTGGAGCATCAGTTAAAACAGGAGATGGAGATGCTACTGGAGATGTTACTGGAGCTCCTACTGGAGCGCTTGCTGGAGATGTTGATGGAGCTGGAGCTTTTCGGGAATCTGTGGATGAAGTTACAGCTAAAGATTGAGCTGAAACTGGAGCTGAGGTTGGAGTTTCGGATTTGTACTTAGAAGGAAGGTTGATATCTTCAGACTTTGTTTTGATTAGCGGAGTTGAACTGAAGGAGTGTGTGGTATCCTGGTCTTGTTTAGATGACTCACATAGTGTTTCAGATACAAGGGAAGAGGAAGAAGAAAGAATACGAGGTTGTGTAGTATCCTGTGTATCCCCGGAACCTGGAGTAGGTTTGGTTATTTGAGTAGGTGAAGGAGGATCGGTATACTTGATTACAGGTTTATCTGCTCCTAGTTTCAGATCTAGATAAGCAGGTTTATCTTGTTTTTCAGCTTTCAAACCTTTCTCAGGGTCAAGTTCAGACGGTTTCTCCGCTGTAGTTAGACTCTCTGCTGTTCCGTCCTCTGTGTTTTTCAAGGGAGAATCAGCACAAAATAGGTTTATACAAATATTTTCAGAATCTTCTCTCAGTTCATATGATGAACAGTCGGACGCGGGCGATTTCGACGGAGACTCGACGATCGGAGATTTCGAGTAGTTGCTTATATCGTCCTCGTAAAACTCGTCACCGATTTTCCGTTGAACCTCACTGATAAAGTTGATGTCACTTCCAGTAATGATCTGATTTTCTAGTTCGTCTCTGATACCCCCCTCCTCCCTTGTTCGTTTTACCCTCACTAGGCTAGACATTAAAAATCATTGAAAAAAAACTTAAGATTGACGAAAATCTTAGATATTCTAAGTGTTTAACAAATGTTATAATCTTTCTGTTTGGAAATTGAAATATATACTGTTACTGGAACATATGTGACGGAACATTTAAATATTTATGTAAACTGTTCGTGATAACAGCGATAAATCTCAACTGTTGATAAAGAGATAAATTCTAAGTCTAGTGAGGGGTGCTGACATGCGCGGACCTGAGATAAGTGTTCTGCTCCGTGGTTGGCGTGGTACTGAGCCTGGGCATGTCCAGCCCCCCGCACCCCGCCATCCACGCCACACCAAGTGTAAGCCCGGTCCAAGACTTTAACGCTCTCCCCGACCACCTGCACCAATTTCGCGGATTTTTTCTCCAAAATTTTCGCAGATTTCTTCGGGTCCTGGAGTTTCTTTGATCGTGGATATAACAGGGTATGTGGTTCGGACTCCTGGAAATAAATCAAAGTTAACTATACAGCATACAACAAGATATATGTATATTTTATACGGAGTCACATTCAAATCTTGCAAAGATGGAAAGTTTTTGCTAGATATAATATTAAGCACAAAATTTAGAAGACAAATATATCGAGAAGGATTATCAAATAGTATGAAACAAAGCGCGGAGTGTGTAAAAGATTATTTTGATTGTAAAATTACTTTTTTGGACCCAGAAATAAATAGAAATAAAGTAAAACAGCAGCTTCTATCGTTCTTAATTAACCATGTATCATACAATATATAACAAATGCATCACAAAATGTTGTCTACGTAAAGATATTTTTTTAATTTGACCTGTTTGTCTGTACGTTTGTTTGCATCTAATAAGCGTCAAAACTTCTGAACTAATTTAGTTCAAAGGAACTGAGTTTTTGTCACAACCTCAAATTTTCTTATCTCAATATCTTTGCAATCCAATGTCGTAGACCTTAGATATTTAAAACTTAGACTATTTGATATAACAGAATTGATATTTTAAAATATCTAAGGTCTACGACATTGGATTGCAAAGATATAGGTAAAAGAAAATTTGAGTTTGTAGCAAAGACTCGATTCCTTTTTATGGTAACTCACAAGAACTCAAGTCTGATTAAAATAAAAAATGGTACCCGGAAAAAATGACGAATTAAAAATGTTTGAAAACTATCAATGATAACAGAAAAATCCTCGAAAAAAGGCGGATTAAAGAGCAACATTTGAACGTTAGAATTGTTACTAGAAGAGGGCCTTGAACGTCTAATAAGATAAAAAGATGTCGATAAAAAAATTGCATGTTTTTTAAGCTGTACACGATAAGCATAGTACAAAATATAACCCGCTCAAATGTATAACTTATCCGAACTCAATCGAAATTTTCTACATGAATATTTTTTTAAATAGAAATATTTTTCAGAATAGTTTTCGTCAAAAGAACTGAGCACTTTCCTCAAAATCTAAATATCTTTACAACCATACTGTGCAGAGATGTTTGAGTCCATTTCCTTTATAATGACAGTCAAAAATAAAAAGTGTAGATCCACAAAAAGTTATGTACCCCCCACCCCGTTCTCCCCCATCCGTAAGACAATNGATGGTTAGGGGCGACAGGAGTTGTCAAAACAAGGAGAAGGAGAGAAGAGGGAGGGGGAGTAGAGAAAGATTGAGGGGGAAGGAGGAGGGTATGAGAGATGGGGAGGGGGGGCACTAATTTTCTGACATGTTCCCCCACAAATGAGGCAGGTGTGTAACACTAATTTTATTAACCTAGAATGCTTTAATGCATAAGGTACAAAAATAAGAATAAATACGATTTTTATTGCTTATATCTCAAAAAATTGAGAAAAATATCCTACAAATTTATGTTTTCTCTAAAAAAGGTTTTGGTGCAAGTATTTCCAACAGTTCCCAGAATTAGAATTAGTGCAAATTAACAGAAATACAAAAAAATATTTCCTAATATTTTTTTTGTAGAATCAACAATGAAATTCACGTGTCACAAAAACTGCTTTCAAAACAGGGTTAAATTTAATCTCAAACATCCCCCTTTTCACTTTTCCAATTTACTTCAATCTTTGTTCTGCCCCCCCCTTTCCCTCTGTCTTCACTATACCATAAAAAACAATTATTTTTGAATTGGGATTTTGATCACGTTTTCTTATAACGCCTGAAACCACTTTGAAGAAAATATATTCTTTCGGCATTTTATAGGTAGGTAGGTAGGTAGGTAGGTAGGTAGGTAGGTAGGTAGGTAGGTAGGTAGGTTTAGGTAGGCAGGTAGGTTTTAAAAAAGTTGTTGATTCTTTTTAAAGAAATCTATTGTTTATGGCGAAAAAAAATTGGCGATTTATGTTACGGAATGTATTGTGTATTTTAGGGCGTTTTCTCGAGGTTCATTACTGATTTTCTTATTCCTATATTTTTGCAACCCAATGTCACATATTTAGATAATCTAACTGCTACTTTTAATTCACTGCAAACCTTCTCTAAACAAAAATGTTTTTATGCGTGTGAAAAAATAAATTTTAAACGAAGAATTAAAATTTCACATAGTGACTGAAATAATTTTTTTTACCAAAACCATAATTTTTATTTTAAAGATTATTTCTTACGGACCGGTGGGGTGGGGTGGGGTGGAGGGGGAATCGAATGTTAATTGTATGCCCCTGGTTTTCAAAATATTTTTTCTTAAAACTTTAATAAAAGTTTTGAGAAGCCCTTATCAGATCCAGGACTAAATATCAACGCACAAGTTTTGATTGAGATCAGTTTTTCCAAATTTATCGACCACACACCGCTTCTGAAGATAGATAAACATAACTTTACATATTCAGAGAGTACAGGCAGTATCAGACATACTCGTACATACAGTGGCGGTTTCCGGGGGGGGGGGGGGGGGGGGGGGCAGTTTTAGCTTCTTTAATTCCGTTGTTGAGATTGGATGAAAAAAAAGATTTTTATTTTTATTTTGTGTAAAACTTGGGTCTGATGCCATAGGAAACCCAGACTAGGGACTATGTTTGAATTAAAATCTAATCATGAATTTCTTAATCTATATTTCAGGGCCTATCCTTTTATGAAGATTTTTAATCACACACCCTTGGCCAACCGAGGATATCTTTATTTTGATCTTATTTTCCAAACTGTATATGTATGTATGTATCGACCTTTTAACTCTACTACTCGGCTAAAACACATTGTTAAAAAAGTTTAATTAAAGGGAGTGACCGGCAATGTATGGTAATTGCATTGATAATGTAGTATTGTGGAGAATTCTGTTGGGAATCATTTGAGACCTTTGATACATTTTTACGGTTCATATTTGTTCAGCAAGAACACAAATCAATCTTTTAAATACTCAAAGATTGTTGAGGGATGATTTTGATAATAGGGTTTTAAAAAAATTATTCCAAAACGACGACCAAAAATGTAGTAAAAATTCGACAGTCAACTAATTAGTTGTTTAGGAACAGGTTGAGAAAATAAAAATAAACTATTATCATCGAAAATAAGTAATCTTATTCAGTTATTGGTTTCTATAATGGCTCATTGTTCACAAATATTTTCTGTAGATTTCCTGGAATTTTTATTGAAAAGACGACATTTGAAGAATTTTAAGAAATCTGCGAACAAATTAATAAAGAATAAGAAATTCAATATAATGATGAAATAGAAATAATTGATTCTAACATTGATTTATTGATAAAATTCTAATTGAAAAATATGTTCCCATCTAATTAGTTTACTGTAGATTATTTTTACATTTTTGTTGTCGTTATTTAATAATTCAAAAAAAACGATTCTCTGAACGTAACCACCAAAATGGATGACTTTGAACGTCGACTTTGCGCGCAAACTCAGTACTTATACATCATTAAAACGTTATATATGTCTTAAATGAATCCTAAAAAATTTCTTCACAATACTACATTCTCAGTTTAACTACCATACATTGCCAGTTACTCCCTTTAAATACTTGCCCATATGTATATATTCAGTAATCTAAAAGCTTAATATATGTAGTTAATATGTATTGTGCACTAAGTTATTAAAACTAAATAAGTCATCTTAGAAAGAAAAGTCTCCAAACTCTACATCACATACTTTTGTTTCTGATACATTAAAAATCCCGAAAACTGTCAATATCTTGCACAAATCAAATAGATTTTTTACTTTGATAAGATGCGTCAAGAAAAAATGTTAAAAATAATATATATTTCTTGCATTTTCTACTTATAGTAAAAACATTCTCATATTAGATCAAACTTTTTAACGATTAAAAGATCGCAGAATTTTAAAACGCCAATGCCAAACACCTTCAAACCTGTTTATGCTACGATAAAAATAAATAATTATAATATAAAATAGACAAGAAAAGATTCGATCAAAGAGAAGAGATTAGAAAAGAAAAATGTATGGATTAAGGATAGTCTAGATACAGGTTGAAACTAGATTAGATAAGATTATAGAGTTTGAATTTTAACACATACTATAGTGCTAATGTGATAAAATACATTTCAACTTCTTATACCTAAACCCACTGTAAACTATATTAAATCTATAAATAAAGCTGAGTACAGACTGACAACTGTACAAATGCAGACAGATAGAAGAACACAGTTTGAATTTAAAATTCAACTTAAAGCGTTCATAGACTAATTCAGATTTTACATTAAAGCATTTATTTAAGCAAATTAATGTGTTCATTTGAAAAGGACCAACAATCTGTTTGATAAAACACCAGGAATAGACAACGAGAGGCTAAACCTAGGGCCGTAACAGGGTGTTTCTGCAGGGAAGAGGGGTGAAATGTAGTGAAAAAGTCCCTGGAATGAAAATGTTCATAATTTTAATAATGGTTAAAACTTAGGATAGCGCTCCCAGTGCGCATGTTTTAGAAAACATGTTTTGACCTGCTCCGAGGCCATCAGAACGTTTTTATTCTAAATTGATTTTACTTTTCAAAGCAAAAGTTTTTTATTTTTGCTGGATTTTACAGCCTTCATTTTTGGAATTTCTTCTCATTTCTGCAAGGCTAAGAAAATTATCAAAATATTAACTTGTTTTTTTACTGTATATACATGGAACTATGATTTGTATATATAATATTTTATGTATGCTTAAATATTTAAAAAAATCAGTGTATCAAAAGATACTTTTAATATAACTTCAAATATAGAAGGATAATATATAAATATCTATAAAACCATATCTTTAATATATATAGTCTATACAATACCATGTGGGAGGATATTAATAGAGAAGCAACTGGGTTAAACGAGGTCCATCTATCTTATCTATCTCTTTATCCATCTTACATTTATCAATCAATCGATCAATTAATTCAACTGCTGAGTTGATACCATTGATATATCTTCTGCTTAGTACTTGACTTGACTATCTAACTATTCCATTGATATATCTTCTGCTTAGTACTTGACTTGACTATCTAACTATTTATCAAGAATTCAGG